AGGTCTGGTTCGAATGAGAGAAAAGTCAACCCTCCCATTCGGCCAGATTTGTTTTATATTACTAAAATATTGTGGAAAAGTCACATGTGCCCCTACTTAAGTTAGGGACATAAGATCTAACATAAACTTACACATCAGCACCTAAACATAAGCACAAAGACAGAAATACCCCTACATACTYGGCACTAACAAAAGTGTTTGTAGGTCAAACACAAATGGCATTTGTGGAATGCAAACAAATTTTGGACGGTTTCCTGATTATGATTGAATGCGGGGGTGGTTTGTAAAGTTAACATTGGAGAAGGCCTATGACCATGTGGAATGGGGATTTTTGGAAGTGGTACTGGTGAGGATGGGTTTTGGGGAGAAATGGAGAAATTGAATGCTTGTGTCTCTTCAGTGTCTTTTTCAATTTAAATTAATGGAGTATCCATAGAATTTTTTCAAGCTTCTAGGGCTTCAAGGTAGGGGGACCCTTTATCTCCCATGCTATTTGTTTTGGTGGTGGAAGTGTTGAATTGGGATTAATGGAAGGATTTAAGGTTGGCAAGGACCAATCATTGCAACTTTATAGCATGCTGATGATACATCGGAAATGTGTCAGGTCTTGCATTTGAAAAGTGCTCTGAGCTGTTAGCAGGTCTGAAAATAAATTTATCCAAGAGTGTGATGATAGTTGTGGGGGAGATAGATTTAGAACACTACCATCTTTTAGATATGATGATTTAAAACAAGCTTATGATCAATCCCCTTGCTAAGCTTCTTAATTCCCTCATGATCCATGTATACTGCCATCGTTCATTGGAATGGCTATTTAGCCAACCCACTAGTCTTAGAATTTCCTTTGRTCACCAGATTTGTGTAATTAGAAGCTTTTGCAATTGGTCCTGCGAAGATGGCTATAATAGCCCCAGATCCATCTCTAAAAAGTAAAACCCCTCCTATGCCTGATGGTTCTGGATTGCCTAGATTGCATCCATCTAACAAAGCAAGTTTTACCATAAATAATGAGAAACATGAGGATGGAGATTAGTAAAAAAGCTTGAGAAGAATTCCTGCTAGAGGGGCTAACATGTCCACCGACAGTGTTCCTAAATGGATGATGTGTCATGTGTCTGTGTTGGACAAATGTCTGAGTCCAATACTCCATGGATACTTGAGGACATTACTGTGTGATGTTTCCTTTCTGTCTCCCAGCTTAGTAGACATAAATGAACAGCTAATGCACAAGATGAATGCCATTTTTCATATCATAAGTTAATAACAAAGACAACATATTTTGCATGTATGCAATTTTTTTTAGGTTCCACAGGTATATAGTATTAGTGTGAAGAAAATATGAAGACCGTGAGTCCATGTTTTCTCATCTTGCCGAGTCAGACTCTTGGACATATGTCGGATTCCGACTCCCATGTCCATGTCCATGCAACATTGCCATCAACCATGTTGTAGGAATTTGATGGTTTGTTCCTTTCTTCAAGACTTATCTGCATATAGTATGGAATGATATCACTCGTTTCTGCCAAAATATTTTTATAATGCATGCATCTCTCATCTGTTTCCCAAATTGTCTTTTGTTTATGCAATCATTGAAGAACTCCTGTAATTGTTTATTGAATTTTTCGAATGCTAATGATTTGATTTCCATGCTTTCTGATTCATAGTTGCTTGTGCAGGTGGAACCAGTTAACATTGTTGTTGGTTCCCATGTATGGGTYGAGGATCCTTTACTGGCTTGGATTGATGGGGAAGTTACACGAATCAATGGTCATGAGATTCATATTAACACAACAAATGGGAAAAAGGTTTTTGGCATCATTTCCTCTCATGTTTTTTGAGTGTTCTTTTATAATTCTTAAAAAGTTATATATTTTGGATACAAACCAGTTGCCTCAAGGAGATGTAATCTCTCAGTCATATTACATGATATAATTTATTACATATGCCATATAATGGAAAACCCACCAAGAGACCAACCACTAGCTTGTTGAGTTTCTGCTCCTATTTATTTATCCTCTATGTCTTCTTCCTTCTATAAAGAATTGTACATGCATTTTGATGGGAGAAAAACGTAGCCATGTCAGTATCAATTTGCTAGCTTTGAGCATGCTCTTTGACTCTGAACATAAAATTATGCCGCAGATGCAGCATCCCTTGTGATGGTTATCAATACATTTTTTAAAGAAAAAAAAAATCTCTAGGTCATGTATAGTTACTTTTTTAGCAGAATCCAGGTTTACCTTAATGCTATTGTCTCTAATGTTCTCTGTATTATAAGATTAATTACTTTTCCATGTCCACATTTGCTTCCATTTCCATCTGATCATTTGATGGGTATTTTGCCTTTTAAATGTATTGTTGTTGTTGCTATTATTGTTCTTCTTATTCTTATCATTATTATTTAAATGTATTATTATTATTGTTGTTATTATTATTATTATTATTATTTAAATATAGTCCAGTGTGCCTGATAAACTGGCTGCATTTGTACAGGTTGTCTCCAATATATCAAAAGTATTTCCAAAGGATACTGAAGCTCCACCTGGAGGGGTTGATGATATGACAAAGCTCTCATATTTGCATGAACCTGGTGTTCTGCAGAATTTGGCTACCAGATATGAACTTAATGAAATCTATGTAASTCCTTCCTCTAGTTGTTTATTTTATGCTTGGCATACTAGAATGTATGAAAGAAAAAAAAATGAGCAAGTTGTAGAGTTGTAGATAGTTTATGATGCTAAAATTTTCCTTTGACCTTACAGACATACACTGGCAATATCTTGATTGCAATAAATCCATTTCAAAGATTACCTCATTTATATGATACTCATATGATGGAACAATATAAAGGAGCAACATTTGGAGAGCTAAGCCCCCATGTTTTTGCTGTTGCAGATGTTGCATACAGGTGATTCTTAGTCCTTACAAATGTCACAATCTTTTTGTTGGTACTTGTATTGATATGTGCTTTGCTGTAAGAATATAGGGAAATGATCAACGAAGGGAAGAGCAACTCTATTTTGGTTAGTGGAGAAAGTGGTGCTGGTAAAACTGAGACCACAAAGATGCTCATGCGATATCTTGCATATTTGGGTGGGCGATCTGGAACAGAAGGGAGAACTGTTGAACAACAAGTTCTTGAAGTAAGATGAAGTTATCTTGTTTGTCTTATACCTTTGTAATTGTGAATCTTCTTCTCTTAGTTCATTTATCTTTCTGACCTTTCTCTGAGAATTTTAACAGTTTCATACTGATGACCAACTGTTTTTTGTTGTTGATGAGTTCCAGTCAAATCCAGTTTTGGAAGCATTTGGCAATGCTAAAACTGTTCGAAATAACAACTCAAGGTGACATTTTTTCCCTGTAGAGCATGACCTAGTAAGAATTATGCACTCTTGTTTTTTATTGACAACTTTGTACAAGTTACATAAATGATAAGATGTACAGAAGGAAAGAACCACTGAACCAGTGTAAAAAAGGAACCAATATTGCCCATCTCCACCATCTAAACTACCCCATGTTAGGATAACCAATAACAAAAGGAAAAAAACATGGTCCAAGAAACACAAATCTAGAAAGTTCATTCAATTGCCTAATAATATCAACAGTCCCCATTACTTCAATTATGCATATYCAACTCCATCCAAGAGGTACAAGCACCACAGCAGAGGAAGGCAGATCATGACAGCTCTAACCACCACATGATCAATACCAATCAACAAGACAAATAGCAAAGGAACAACAAATAAAAATTGTAATTATTTTGCATGCACTTCCCAATCACCTTAAAGAAATCCCTCACAGAACAATCACAAGTTCACAAATAAACCGGCATTATAGCTTCCATTCTGTTCACAGATGTATTACCTAATGACATCTTTCTTTGCTCCTACCCCTTGATTTCGAACCAAGGGATCCTCCATTGATTCTTCATCAGTACTTAGTACTAGAGCTATATATGCTAGAGCAAGATCACTTATTCCATCCTCATCCTCAAGTATGATTCACCACCACCCCAGTCTCAGCACTCTCTGTTGCGACCACTTCAGCCTACCCAGGCCCAGGCCCAAGAGCCCACGACAATCCAGGTGTGAAGCCACCCATAGCACAGTGGTTTGTTAGAAGATAGAGTGGACCAGCAGCCATGGCAGCAGATCCGATCCCAGAGTTAGTTACATCTGCACATGGGAATATCTGATTCTCATGATGAGCCACCTGAGCCAGTCTAAAAGGCTCCCGATTTTGTAATAAAGACATGAATAGAAACCTTTCTTCTTCCTCTATCTTCTCTGTTCTCAGGGGGTGAGTCTCCCTCGAATAGGCTACCCTGGTAGGCGGTTCCTACCACTCTCACCCAGAGATGCATAAGTTCTCATCTTTTCCAGATTCCTCTTAAGGCAATTGTGCTCCTATAGTCTTGAAAAGTAATGAGCTAAATGAATTTTCTCACCCTAGCTTCTTCCTTTTTTTTTTTGATAAGTAAACCATTTTCATTAACTAGAGAGGTAGATATAAAGCTGCAAAGAGTAGGGGGAACATAGACAAACTGTGCTACTTCCCAAAGCTCAGAACCCCAATCAGAACAGCAGAAAAACTCAGCAACAACTCCCACATTAAAACAAAAAACTGCCTTAAACAAAAAAGGAACCACAAAGCAAGACAGGTAGACCATCCTTGAACCTAAGAATTCTCAATGAAAGGCTTAACTCTTACTAATCTTCACTTTATGGGCAACTACCTTTCTCAAATCTAAACTGTCAGCGACTTTAGTAACTTCAATAAATTTTTTACTGCTAATTGCCTGGGACGTGGTAGCTCATGACTCTGAATCTCTGATCCATTCCCCTTGAAACTGCCAGTCACAAGCATGTCGGGCGGGGGGGGGGGGCAAGGAATTAATTTCAGCTTCTGCTGCTGAAGTTTGGTAATGGTAGTCATGCTACCTTTTGACTATCCAATTGGAAAATGCCTTGAAATCCCAAACTTACAAATGTAATCTTAAAATGCAAGTCTACAAATCACTTCAAGGTTTATTGCAGGCATTGCTTCTATGTGTGTGTTTACATGCATGCATGTTTGCTTGAGTGGTTTGAAGTATTTATAGGGATTGTATGTATCTCTCTGTCTCTCTCTCATGAACTTGAATGCCAATGACCTTTCCAAGTTCTTTGTCTCGCAAGCTCCTCCATTATTTCTCCCTTGTATGCCACCCAAAAGGGAGGTTGGAGTTTTTCTTTGTTACTTTGCAATTAACAAGGCTATCTAGCTGCAGGGAAATGAAGTGCCGTTTAGTTTACTCAAAGAAGGGTTTAATTTTCTTCTTTCTTGCAAACATTTCATTTATCTTGCTCTTGGAGGAAAATTACAGAAACCTAAAATTGCCTCTCAGGTTTTCTGCATCATATTTACCTATAAAAGGAAAAATGGGAAAAGGGAAGAAAAGAAGGGGAAAAACAGAAAACCCAAATGTAAAGTGAGAAGTCCTGCCCTAGGCCTAGTAATGACTTAATCACTTAGGTAAGACTGGATTGGAGTAAAGGTGTTGCAAGTTGGGAACCTTCAGGCTGATCTCCAATATGTAGCCACAGGTCCTCAAGCTTGTAACTTTGGTAAGCCTTAGAGTGACTTTATAATTATATTCAAACTTCAAAATTGCATTACTATAAGAATTCTTGTTGTATTCCTGCTGAGACTAGTTTATATGTTATTGATATGTTATTTTGCAGGCATTTATTTTTTCAATTTTAGTTTCTTGTTTTTRAACTTTATCTTGTTCAAGGACTTATCACTCTGCCTCTTTGTATTCATGGTATAAAGTCGTTTTGGTAAATTTGTTGAGATCCAATTTGACAAGAATGGGAGAATATCTGGGGCAGCTATTAGAACCTACCTACTTGAAAGGTCTCGTGTTTGCCAAATATCAGATCCTGAGAGAAATTACCATTGCTTTTACATGCTATGTGCAGCACCATCTGAGGTACATACTTCTTTTAGAGTTCATACTATGGTCCATTTTTCTTCGGTTACTGCTTATGTAGTTGCAATGGTTATTTGTCAAAAAGCTGAAGGTTTTAATTCAATGTGCAGGATATTGAGAAATATAAGTTGGGAAATCCTAAATCATTCCATTACCTGAATCAATCCAATTGCTATGTGCTGGATGGAGTAAATGATGCCCATGAATATTTAGCAACCAGGAGGGCCATGGACATTGTTGGAATCAGTGARCAAGAACAGGTCTGCCTTCCTTGTGCTTCCAATTTTCAAAGCATTATAGTTTGCACTTCTTTTGATGGCCCAATCAGATTCCCAATCCTAAATATTTCCTGCAGGAGGCAATTTTCAGGGTTGTAGCTGCAATTCTTCACCTTGGTAATATTAATTTTGCAAAGGGAGAGGAGGTAGATTCTTCTGTCATAAAGGATGAAAAGTCTAGATTCCATCTTAAAATGACATCTGAACTTCTCAAGTATGTTGAATTCATTTCTTATATGTCTCTGGAATATTTTTTCTGTTTTGTTTCTTTGATTGTTCAATCATTCTCTACTAATCCATGTTGTTTGATAGGTGTGATGCCCAGAGTTTGGAGGATGCACTGATAAAGCGTGTCATGGTGACACCTGAAGAAGTTATCACAAGAACTCTTGATCCTGTTTCTGCAGTGGGTAGCAGAGATGCTTTAGCCAAAACAATATACTCCCGCCTATTTGATTGGTAAGAGCTCATGTGATAACCCCCTCCCTTCCCCCATATAGGTGTATTTAGTGTTGCAATGCGGTTTCTTATTGCATGTTTTAGGTTATAACAAGTTTTTCTATATTTTCTGCAGGATTGTGGATAAAATTAACATTTCAATTGGACAGGATCCAAACTCAAAGTCATTAATTGGAGTTCTTGATATTTATGGATTTGAAAGTTTTAAGTGTAATAGGTAAGATATTAGTTGCAAAATCACACTTCAAAATATCTTTAAAACAAAACAGTTGTAAATAGGGGTATTCACAGTCTGGTTTGGAGAAGATCTCAGACCAAATCGGTAATTTACAGTTTGAGAAATTTCTAAACTGAACCAAACCGTTTTGGTATGGAAACAAAATCAAACCAAACCGTTTTATTACAGTTTGGTGCGGTTTCTAATTGGACCATTCTATGATTCCTTTGGGCTTAACCCAATTAGAAAGCCCAAATAGCTCCCCTAAAAATTAAAACTTAAAACTTTTATTTATTATTTTATTATAAAATAAAGAGTTCATTATATATTTATGATTTTACGCATTCCATCTAGATATATTATATATAATATTTATATATCATATATTCATATTATATATATATGTATATAAAATTTCGGCTTACGGTTTGGTTTGGCTTACAAAATTCAATAAACCAAACCGAAACCACAAACCACAATTTAGAAAATTCTCAAACCGAACCAAACAGTTTATAGGTATAAAGTGAACCAAACCACAACTTTGGTTTGGTTTGGTTCGGTTCGGTTTTGCGGTTTGAACCGTATAATGAACACCCCTAGTTGTAAATGTCTCTTGAATGAAATCTTTCTGTTATCAATCCAAAAAAAAAAAAAGATAGAAAACAGTGGTAATTGTCATGATACAAAACAATAATTCGAATAAGAAAACCTGATACAATTGTTGATTTTCTTGTAATTTCATGTAAAACAGTTTTGAGCAGTTCTGTATCAACTTTACAAATGAGAAGCTGCAACAACATTTCAACCAGGTTAGTTTGCTCAGTCAATTCACTTTCTTGGAAATTGCTTCTTGCATTTTTCTTAAATTTAATGACTGGGATTGTCTGTTTGCAGCATGTCTTCAAAATGGAACAAGAAGAGTACACCAAGGAGGAAATTAATTGGAGCTACATAGAGTTTGTTGACAATCAAGATGTCTTGGATCTTATTGAGAAAGTATTAACTGTTATCTAATGCAATGTTGTTAATTGTAGCAAATGATATCTGTCTTTTATATATTAAAATGCAGAAGCACACACATGTGAGACATGGATTGATATTCTCCACATGAGATTATTTAAAGTTATTCACATTTTGAGATTTATGTTGATGCATTCAAAGAATGACAACTGAGGAGCTTAATCTTTGTACAGAAACCTGGAGGAATTATAGCACTTCTAGATGAAGCCTGGTATGCAGTTGATGTTCCACTAATCCGTTTTGCTTACTTTGTCAGTAAATCTATCTTAATAACATGTAGAAGGATTTGTTGACATTCTATCTTTCCATATATGATCTTTTTTTGATCAGTAACTGATATAGATTTTATTGATAGTTTGAGAAAACATACAATTATTTTGCAGTATGGTAGTGGTTTATACACTTTCTATCATTCCATATATGATAATCTGCATCTTTTCATGGATAGGAGGGTTCCTTTTTACACTCCACCTTGATGTCTGTTTGATTGCTTTGTGCAGCATGTTTCCTAAGTCTACGCATGAAACATTTGCCCAAAAGCTGTACCAGACATTTAAAAACAATAAGCGCTTTATTAAACCAAAGCTCTCTCGCACCAGTTTCACCATATCTCACTATGCAGGGGAGGTAAACATGTAATTGCTTCTTTGTTTATGTTCCTTTTCTGATTATGGAATAACTATTTTCCTGAAACATTTTAAAATTTTACAGGTAACATATCAAGCTGATCTGTTTCTGGACAAGAACAAAGATTATGTGGTAGCAGAGCATCAAGATTTATTGACTGCTTCAAAGTGCCCATTTGTAGCAGCTCTATTTCCTCCACTTCCAGCAGAGTCATCAAAGTCATCTAAATTTTCTTCCATTGGATCACGATTCAAGGTACTTTTGAGTCCAGTTCCTCATTGATTTTTCTTATTTTCGAAGAACTCATCATTTTTGGGCACAACTGTAATTGATTTCTTGTACTTTTCTGTTTCTGGGGAGAGATAAGAGAGGTTATCTTTCCCTATTTCATTTGATGTAATCCTTTTAATTTCAACGAAAGTTCCAATTATTGATAAAAAAAAATTAAGTTTCACATCGTCCATTTAACCACAACCTTTGAATCCCCTTCAATTATCAACTTCTTAATATTTAGAGAAGCTGCTTTTTGGATTCTTTCCACTGCGGCCAATACCTCAACCCAAAGAGAATCTCCATTCCCAGCTGGCCCCAAATATAGAGCCACAACTCTACCACCCTCATCTCTTAAAACTCCTATTCCAGAAACACCTGGATTACCCAGACAAGTCCCATCAAAGTTTAATTTGATGAAACCTCTCTCCAGAGGGGTCCAACAAGCTGTAGTAGGTGGTTTTACAGGTGCAGATTCAGCCACCTCTTTCCAACTGGCTGATGTGAAGTTTAGTTATTGATAGTCAGTTCTATTTTGACCTGTTAACCACAAAAAAGATACGCTCTAAGTTCAAGATAATGATGTAATCTGATACTTAAGTTAATAAAGACTGCATATGCAATAAAAGATATGATATAGAACATTTTGTATACAGTATTTGTTTTCCAAACAAAAAGGGGAAGTCTGCATTAGACTAAGTTGGGTAGCTGCAGGGTTTTTCTTTTTTTTTTGGTGGTTTTGGTGTGTGTCTTTTGGAGAGTATTTAACCTTGACTAGTAATGTGGTTCCCTTGTTTATGGCAACTCCATATCCGCAATAACACTAATTGAAAGAAGATCTAAAATAACTCCTCTACTATTTCTCTTTTGTTGTAGGCTTTCTTTCTATTTCATATACCCTCACCCAATCATGTGCAATCAAACTTGCTTAAAGCAATCAGGTATTTAGGTACATATAATTATAACAATGTAAATGCATATATAATATTATTTCGTGTTAGAATGTTAGAGTGATGTTCGGCTGATAAGAGTTCTTATTAGCCCATTCTTATATTTAACTTATCTTGTAACTGGGCTGGGCTTGTGTTA